GGCTTCCAACAAGAACACTTTTTCTCTTACAGGGAAGCAGCAGCAGCACCTCAACCACAGAATACATCGTGCGTGTCCCCAAGTGAGTAACACATGTAAATATCCAAAGAGATTTGTGTGCACAGGACTTGCCTTGTGTCACTGTTTTGCATGTGTTCATGCGTGTTTTGGTCATTCTAGGTGTCACTTGAAGACGTGCATGTGCATGACTATTAGAAGATGATTGTGACGCAAATGAATTGAGCTCAGTTATGTTGCACAATAACTCACTATATTCTTTTTTCTTTTTTTTTTTCTTTGTATAGAAACACCAGCAAGAAGTACAATATAATGGCTTTCAATGCAGGGGACAGAGTCAACTGTTCAACATGGACACAGGTGGGCTTCATACTTTAACTACACCTCACAGACAAAGCTTAGGTTTTCAGTATGACAGAGCTAGAGTTGATATGAGAAAGGAATATCAGGCAGTCTTATTCGCCTTAAACAAAAAAAAAGAGCGAGAAAGATGTGATAAATTTAGGAATGAGTAGGCTGGGGTTTGTTTTTTTTTCACTTTTCCATTGCTCTTTCTCCTTTCCCCAGGCTCGTATGGAAAGAGATATGAGTGCTCGGAAGATATATGGGGAGGAAGAGACCCCTGAAGGCGCAGCAGGTAGTGAGTTTGGCAAAAAGCAGCGCGAGGAAGCTCGTCGGAAGAAGTTTGGTATCGTCACGCGTGAATTCAAAGTGGAGGACCAGCCCTGGATTCTCAAGGTTAATGGTAAAGCTGGCAAGAGGTGAGTAGAGAGACTCCCTCTGAGTTACTCTTCAAAAGTGTTGGTAATGCAAGATAAAATTATGTATTATAAGAGTTATTATTTAGAGAAATCTCGGTGACTTGATGTCTGTAAAGAATTTTTTTTTTTTTTTTTTTTTTAAGGTTCAAAGGTATAAAGAAGGGTGGCGTTACAGAAAATGCATCCTACTACATCTTCACGCAGTGTCCCGATGGAGCTTTCGAGGCTTTTCCTGTTCACGGCTGGTACAACTTTACACCACAGGCCAAACACCGAACTCTGACTGCTGAGGAGGCTGAGGAGGAGTGGGGCAGGTGAAAGGGAAAGGACGGGGGTGGTTTGGGATTAAAAGTGATGAAGAAAAATGAGTACTTAAAAAATAAGTACTCAATTGACCCTAGATGTTAATTGTTTGATTTTAAGACAGTCACCCTCTGTTTTTCTAGGCGGAACAAGGTGGTGAATCACTTTAGCATCATGCTTCAGAGACGTCTTCGAGAGCAGGAGCGGGGTGAGGAAGACGAAGACGAAGGAGAAAAATCTGGGAAGAAGAAAAAGAAGGGGGGCGGAAGAGGGGGTGACCTGCGCATTCATGACCTGGAGGACGAGCTGGAGATGAGCAGTGATGACAGTGACAGCAGTATGGGGGACGGTAAGGAGAAAGACACAACAACAAGAAGAGACTATTGTAAAACGTCTCCAGCTTTCATCTTTTGATTTTCTTCCTTCAAACACTTTGGCTTTGTTGGACAGATGGAGAGAGCAAGCCAAAGGTAAAAAAAGATGCTGGGAAAGGAAAAGCAAAGAAAAAGAAGCAAAAGAGTAAAGACAACGAGGCTCTGGAAGACAGCGATGACGGAGACTACGAGGGCCTAGAAGTGGATTATATGTCAGATGAAAGCAGGTCAGATCCGTTACACGGTAGCACACAAAGACTCACACTGTATCAACAATGTTTGGGTTTTTTTTGTTGTTTGTTGTTTTATTTATTCATTTATTTTGTGTTTCAAATTTAGCTCAGAAGAAGAACCGGAAAAGGGAAAGCCTGTCAAAGCAGAGGAACACCCTAAAGGTCAGATCAATTTATTGTTAAAAATACTCAATAAAAGTGAAGCTATAAAACACAGTAAATGTAAATGGACGTGTACTTGGATGTTCACACAGTCTCACACACATTCATACAAACCCTAAAGGAACACAATCTGATGGATGCATCACAGGCGACTCAGGGTTTCAACATGCTGATTGGTAGACGCACCATTCTATCTTTTGCGGCACAGGCACCCCCAAACATATGATTTTATGCATACAGTGTCAAAAAATTTATTTTAGGCATTGAAAAGTTAGGTGAGTGGAAGGTGACCTGAGTAGACACAATCTTGAAAATGACTTAGGTCTCATATAACTTAGCTCCGCATCTGGACGAACGTTATGGCCAGATACCTGCCAGAAGTGTCTAGTTTTTCACTAATCAATGTATTTAGATTGTTTCTGAATATTTATCCTTTTGTAGGGATTGATGAAGAATCTGAAAGTGAGGAAGAGAGTGAGGAGGAGAAACAGAATGATGAGGAAGCAAAAGAGGAGGAAGAGGAGGAGGAAGGGAAGAAAACCCCAGTTCAAATGGAGAAGAAGAAGAAAAAAGGTAAAAAAAAAGTCACAACACGTACTGTTGAATGGAGTATTTTAAAATATGTGAGCAATGTGTGTGTATGAGTAGTCAGATTTATGTTCTTGTGCTTCACAGACAGCAGTGGAGAATCAGAAAGCTCAGATGACAGTGACATCGAAGGAGAGACGGCCTCTGCTCTGTTCATGGCGGTTAGTGTGCGTAACTGAACAAATTCACATTTATTTCTTTTTAAGCCAAATTAGTTTGTAATATATTTTCCTATCATTATCATAATTAACATCAGTACCGTTGTTGCTTAATAAAACAATGGCTCAACCAGTGTGCGACCAGTTTTGTAATGCTGAAGCTTTGGAGTATTTCATATTAGTGCGGATTGTTATTCTATATTGGAATTTTTCATTCTTTGTTTGCATTCTCATCAATTATCGTCTTTTCCTTCCTATCTCAGAAGAAACGCACACCTCCTAAACGTGCTGGTGGCCGTGGCTCTGCAGGCAGCTCCAGGACTGGTAGCCGTCCTGGAACTCCATCCTTAGACTCTGCCTCCACCTCGAACACACTCCGTGCTGCCGCCAGCAAGCTGGAGCAAGGTGATTTCTCAGAAAGCCCACACAAATGCTCATACGTTCACAGTATAGTGTACATACGTAGATATATGCAGGACCTTCACAAGTAGCTTTATACTCTCAAATCTTCTCTTTTTGTTATTCCATTCCAAACAAACTTGTCTTCTCTGTCTTGTCTCCAGGTAAGAGACAAGGTCCTAGCATCGACTCACCTGCTGCCAAAAAGCTTAAGATGGAACCCAGCACCCAGAGCCCTGTTCCCTCTGGGAAGAGCACACCTCAACCCCAATCAGGCAAATCCACCCCAAGCTCAAGGTATGGTCCAGGTTTTTTTTTTTTTTTTCTTCAATACAGTTTCATAGACACACAGTTATTTCTTCCTGCTTGTCTTACGATTCAGAAGGCTAACATAAATACACCAATAGATATATAATGTAAATATGAGTGTTAAACTGTATTCTTTACTTTTCATTCACCCCACAGTGATGTGCAGCTGACAGAGGAAGCAGTCCGCCGCTATCTGATCCGTAAACCAATGACCACTAAAGACTTGTTGAAGAAGTTCCAGACTAAGCGCACCGGCCTGAGCAGTGAGCAGACTGTCAACGTGCTGGCACAGATCCTTAAGCGCCTCAATCCAGAGCGCAAGAACATAAACGACAAAATGCACTTCTACCTCACTGAATAACCAAAGGAACAGAGGGATGTTGTGGTTGTAGAAGTGGTGAAGTGCTAAAACTTTTGTTCAAAGGTTATAGTGTTTTCAATAAAACCCATGGAAGAATAGTCTGTACAGGTTGTTCTGTGATATGCCACAGCACAGGAAGCTAGACCCGCCTTCAGCAGAAGTCTGAAATTTCACCTTAAAGCGGACTTATTTTGTCAGTTTTCTTTTCTGTATTTTTATTCTTGAACTCCAAAACAGTAAAATTGCTTTGCAAGATTTCCAGTTCAAAATATATACATGTAGATTTTTTTATCTTCCACTTTGCTGTAGTGCAGTTTATCCTTTGTTTTAGCTGCCTACCACTTCCTTGTAAGCTAACTTTGTTTTGATTGGCTGCCCCTCCTAAAAAAAAAAAAAAAAAAGAAAAGTTGTTTTACAGGGTTCTCATTTACATCAAAAATCCCAGAGAAGAAAAAAAATGTGTATATAACAGAAAATAAGGAATAGTACAATAGGTTCCCTTTAGGTAACAGACTTGTCCATGAAATTATGTTGAATGAAAAATTTTGTTTTGACCTGATAGTTAAAACCTGATAGTTCTGTTTTGTTTTTTTTTGTTTGTTTTTAATTACTTGCATAGAAATTTTTTTCTAATAAAACTATTCTTAAGTAAGGATTTGAATTTTTGTACCTCCTCCTTCAATGTTAAAAAAACCTTTTGTCCTTTAAGGACAAAACTGGGCACTTTTTAGTTTTTTTTGTCAGTTTATCAAATCACTTGTTCCTGAAAGTACTTTAATATAAACAGAAATATTAAACACACTTCACATTAAACATCTAAATATGTATGTGTGTTGCTTAGAGTGAAAATAATTCAAAGAAAGCATTAAAAAGAAATGGCAGCAACTAACATTCACTTCTTACTTTGGGTGCTTGTTGTTCATGAAGTATAGTTGGGCACAGAACACGCATCGATTGTTTATTTTGTCCTCCCTCTGTAAAGACAAAGATTACCCTGAAATAGGGTGCATGCAAATATTTTTGAAAGCTCATTTGCATAACTATCAGGAAGCTAAGACTGTCTTTTGCAAAACCTTAGTTTGCTGCTTTGTTTACTGTCCTGGGATAACCTTTATCACGTAAAAGGAAGCTACTATTTTGACACAACTGGTAGGCAGCAAGTAACTTTATTATTTTAATGATGAAAAAGTACAGCACTTAAAATGCCAACACTGTTAAAGGGATGTAAAAGTGATTTGTGTGCAGTGTTGTCTGAGGTTTCTCATCTTCCTCGTCTTTCTGTGAGTTTACATAGATTGTGGTGCGATTTGAAGCAAAAACACTTCTATTGTACACCAATTTCAAACCTTTTATTTCAAAAAGTCTTGAAAGAGTAGTTGTCAAACAATTAAATGAACATTTTTCAAACGAATTGTTTACTTTAAAATCTTTTAGTCAGGATTTAGAGTGCAGAATGGCACAGAAACTGCACCAGTTAAAGTCTTATGGCCTCTTGACTATTAACTGCTTGGCCTGCAAGACCTTATTGCAGCATTCAATATCACTGACCAAATATGTTACGGCAGAGATTAGAACACACTGTTGGTATCAAGAGTACTGTAGTGAATCACATGTATCACACATGTAGATTATAGTTTTTTCATGTGAACGAGGAGCCTCTTTTCACACACAAAAGCTATTCAGGGAGTTCAACAGGGTTCTGTGATGGGACCAGTACTTTTTTATATTATACATGCTTTCATTAGGTAATATTTTTAGAAAACATTGGGTACATTTTCTTTGCTATGGAGATGATACCCAGTTTTATCTATCTATGAACCTATGTGATCTGGCTCCATTTATCTTAATGACCTCATAGTAGCATTTCACTCCAATAGAGCACTTCACTCTCAGACTGCAGGCTTACTTGTGGGCCCTAGGACATTTGAAAATAGAATGGGAGGCAGAACCTTCAGCTATCAGACCTCTCTTCTGGGAGACCAGCTCCCAGTCATTAGCAATTCTTAAACTCTGCCCATCACTCCTGTAGTTTACCTTTTGTCCTCTTTCTCTTCACTCTCTTCTTTTTTCTCTCACCCCCACCCAGTGACAGTAGATGGCTGCCCCTCCCTGAGCCTGGTTGTGCTTGAATTTGTCCCTAAGTCACCAAGTGCTTGCTCATAGAGGGTTGTGTGATTGTTAGGGTTTCATTCTAATACTGTATCTTGCAAAATTAAGTGCCTTGAGGTGACTGTTGTTGTGAATTAGCACAATATAGATACAATTTAATTGAAATATATTTGCATTACACCAGCTCAAACCAGGATAGACTCTACAATATCAGAGCAAGAACCCCCAAAATCACAAAGCACCCTATGAACCGGCACTTGGCAACAGTCGAGAGAAGGAACCCCCTTTCATTAGGTTTATATGTGAGACAGAATCACACTCAGAGAAGAACAAACATCTGCCTTGGCCAGCTGGGAAAGAGAAGAAAGACCATGAACAACAAAAGACAAAACAAAACCTGAAGGATGGTATAGATAAAAGATACAACATGCAACAGAGCATTAAAAAAAAAAAATCACATGGGTATGGAAGAAGTGGTCAGGGCATCCCGGGAAGCCCCTCCACAGCCTGAGTCTAGAGCCCCTGTTTGAAAAAAATAAACATGATAATTAGCACATCACAGACATCGTCTTTAAAGATGCATTTTACCTTTTAATCCCAGGCCCAGAAGTTCTGTAACCACCATGTCTTTGAATGAGACCTAATCCCCATTCCTCTCTGCAATATACTATTATATTGACTCCCCGACTGTGGTGTTATCAGTGTGTTGAAACCCAACTCATATGCAGTCATTACAATAAAATAAATAATTTAGTAGTCTTCTTTACCTGTGTTAAAAGACTAAAGAAGTACATAAGGAGTATTTGTCTAAACTAGGGTTGCCGAGGAAGTCATGTTTAAGTACTTTATGTCTTGATCCCTTTCATTTAGGATCAACGAATAGAGTGCGGTTCCTCCTGCAATGAAGTTTCCTTATCAGAGAAGATGTGCTGCTGCCATCTAGTGGCAGCAGCACAAAAAAGTTGATCAGAATCAGAATACTTTATTGATCCCTAGGGGAAATTATAAACAATATAAACATTAAAGTGCATTTTTAGGCAAACCATTGAGCAGAAGGACACACTGTTTTCAATTAGAACATTAGATGTTAGTGTAGTGATGTCAGTACTTAAAGAATTGGAGTAAAGTGCTGATGTTTCACAGCACTTCACTCCAAGTGTTGTCCAGCTGCGTATTTGTGTAATTTGTTCCTAATTATATTCATTAATAAACCATTTTTTGAGTTCTCACACAATGTTCAGTTAAAAGTTTTTAAAGCATTCAAGATCATAATTTTATTTGCTAAGGTACATTGGAAATGTTTCACAAAGAGACTCTGTATTATACAGAATTAGAAAAGCGCAACAAAGTGATGAAATTATTGTATAAATACACAAATCTGAAACAACATTTTAATGTTGAACCGAAAACAACATTCAGATACGTTTAAATCCGACGTCTTCGGCAAGATCCAGTGCAAATTTAGAAGAATGCCATTTAAATTGAATCAATTTATAGTCTTTTTCAACAGCATGACCAGAAGAGCGTCACGTCCAATAAACATTCTGAACACACACATTTATAGTCGCTAATAAACTTGAAAGATCTTAGCCTTGATATCTCCATGAGTATCACTGGCAGAAACCTCAAAGTTGGACTTGATGATCTGCTGCTGTTATTAGAGCTGGAGCTTATCCTGGAAGGTTACGACAGATGACAGAAATGCGTCGCTGTCGAGGCACTCTCTGCCCGTTGAACACAGACTCCTCATTTTTCAGGATCTCATGAGTGAACTTATATCTGGCCTGGTCCCTGCACAGGTGTAAAAAGGACAGGGTGAACCTTTGTTAATTGCAAACTACCACAGCTGCTTCTTTACTATAACCGTTCAGCCTTGTGTATTAATCAAAATCTCAAACACGTCATATTTAGGAAACATTAAGAGAGATATGAGGCAAATGCAGCACCTCAGTATGTAGAGGGAGCGTCGGGAAAGCAGCAGATCCAGCCATTCACTGGGTGTGTCCTCTTTCACTAAGCGCATAATACTGTCAGACAACAGACTCAACCCTGCAATGGTGCTTCCACAGAACTGGAAAAAGTTAGAGAGTAAGATCACCATGTGTGCAACTTTTTTTTTTAGAAAGCCACTGTGCAAAAATCCTGGCAAACCCACCTTGACACTGTCGATGTGGGGCTTGATGTAGCCAGTCTTGTCCAAATCTATAACGTGCACAGGGCCGAGGAGCTGGCTACATTCAGGAAATGCTGTAGATCGGACCCGATTCAAGATCTCCTCACATGCCGCGCCCCACCTCAGACGCTCAGTCTCTCTGTACCCATGGATTGCCTAAATGTGCAGGAAAAACAAAGTCGGTCTCACAGCCCGTGTTACTCTGAAGAGAAAACAGTTCAACTACACTGATCAGTGACAGTGTTAGGTGTGAATACAGCTATAGCTCTGTGATGCAGTTAAAAACGAACTACTGTACTTTATGTTGTTTATCACTGAGGTCATGGGGGGATGTTGGACTGCATTACTGTCAGAAGTGTGTCTAATATTTTATCCTGCCTCATAAACGTTGTTGGGTTAGACAAACTATCAGAATCACTTCTAATCACAGTGCAGTAAACCACCTTCACCTACACCTTTTTAAATATTCAATACATTCAACTTTCCTAAAGTTTCAGTCAACAATGAACCTGACTTACATCGTCCCAGTGATCAAATTCGTAGCGTTTCTTCTTCAGGCCTGGGTCCAGCTCCCGCAGAAAAGCAGCCTCTTCTGCCTCAGTGATGAAGTCCGTCCTCACCTCCACCTGCGAGCCCAGCTTCTGCACCAGCTCCGGGCTGGAGCCCACCATTGGAGCTTCATCCCCGAGAGGTAACAGGCCGCTGGTGGCCCCGGAGCTCAGACAGCGCGGGTTACCGGTGCAAAGAGCTGGCTTGTGGATTTGCTTTAACACAGCCAACAACACTTTCATCGTCCCTGTCGATGTATTATTAGTTAGTGTCCTTATAAAGCCCCCGTTTACCTTCAGCGGCGTTTCGGTCTTGTTGACATAAGTCAAGCAGATATGGGAGGCGCCATGTTGGAAACGCAAAGCATTGTGGGGCTCGAAGTCTTTTCTTTTTCAGTAAAACGCCGGAAAAACAAAATGTTTGACCTCCGTCATCTCAAAGATAATGCCACCCGTACCATGCAAACCATATAAAAGGATAAGAATGAAAATAAATTTACAAAAAATAGTATTACAAATTAGAGTTACAAAAAACCTTATAAAACATTATACAAAAGATATTCTATACAGATTTCTTTTTAAATATTTTATTTATTTATTTATTTTAATGGCGAACTGCTATGGTACCATGAGTGTTTGGATTTTTTCCCCTTATTAATAAACACCTTTATTACGAAACTGAAGTTTGGTGTTTATTGTGTTATCTTTAATATTTAATATTTAAATTTGTTTGATGATCTGAAACATTTAAGTGTGAGAAACATACAAAAAAAATTAAATCAGGAAGACGGAAAACACTTTACACATCACTGTATGTCCTTTAACCTGGGATAAACAGATTTCTAAGTCTGTGGAGGGAAAATAGTATGGTCACCAGTATCAGATCCTGTGGTCTGGTCTCATATATATGTGACCCATATGTCTAACACGCCTTCATGTACATTAATTCCAGCCACAGTTAAGGCTCAGTGAGACAAACTCTCTTACAGGTTTAATAAATACAGGGAACCATATGCTGCAATTTATCCATGTGAACACTGGAGGGAACTGAATGTCCATGATTACAAACTGAATCAGCTTAATCAGCACATTTCAACTAGTAAAAATGTTTAAGCCTCCACACAGGAGGTGGTGTTTTTCCCAATTTGTTCATCACTAACTGTATCAATAGTGTAATTGCCAGGCTTTAAATCTCTTAACCTGCTGCACAGGATTTTCATGACAACTTATGCAGAAACTGGATTAAGAAAAAAAATGCTAACATAGAAAGTAATAAAAATGTATAAGAAGAGTTTATACATGTTCATTAATCCACTGAGTGATTCTGAATCTGTGCGAAATTTTGAAAGCTGTAAAAATGGAGAATGTGAAAAAAGAAAAAAAAAAAAACAGGAGAAAGGAGGGAGTTCATAGAGGAGATGATGACTTCATCCTCACTGGAGAATCCCAAGGAGAAAAAAAATGCTTACTTGGCCTACTTACCACTAAGGTTAGCACGTCCACTCTCCTGCTCCCTCTTTTGGTTTGTGCAGGCAAACTCTTATAGAAGGAAAGTGAGGTATCTCCTTTACCCCCACAAGAAGTACATTGCTTTTACATTGAAGTTAAATTGTGATTTAAATATGCAAAGATAAAGTGAAAAAGATGTTTCCATGTAGAGGACCACCTGCTTTACTCTACTTATAACTACCTTAATAATTCTGGATGTTTAAAAATGTAAAACATGTGCTTCTTCTAGCACTGATAAACTTTAGTCCACCATCCTTCCACCTACAGAGACAGATATGTGTGCACGTGATTCCAAACATCCACATGAATCCCCTGCATAAAAAAGGTTAATTTGAGCTCCTTCTGTGAGCCTATAGTATTGGTCTCAGTCAATGAACATCCACAATAACACACATATCTCCTCCTCATACAACTGATGTGATTCCCACTTCGTTGTTGGATGCCATGTTGCTGCCCCCAGCATTACATTCATCCAGCCATGACAAGCGTTATGAAGAGTGGGTTCATATTTCAATTCCCAGTTGGTGGACTCATTTAAAGGCTCTGTGATTCACTGAATTATCATGGGTCAGATTTTCCTGGAGGCATCACTATGCCTTCTGTTGAATCAGCCCCCCAACACACACACACACACACACACACACACACACACACACACACACACACAGTTTTCTGAGGCCGAACACCTGAGTACTCAAATACCTCGGAATTCAGGTTATGTAAAAATGATGCTGTAACAACAGGAAAATAACACGTTTGACCCTTAGAGCAATCTGTCGTTTTTTGTTTGCTGTGTATAATGTGAGCCAGTGTTACAGAGGTTTACATGAAAATCTGCGACTGGTCTGTGGAGTGCCGGGTTCAGCAGGGGCGGAGTGCTCTACATGCATCCAGCGATTGAATTATTCAGTCTTATGAATCATTGAGTCACGACACTCCTTTTTAGGTCCTCGCCTCTGAGCTGCAGCCTCACAGCTACCCACTATTTGAACATCTGACAGAGGAAGAAAAACAACAGAGAACTATTCAGACATGTTCAATCTCTACGGATGGGATAGACTAGCTTTTGTGTGTGTTGCATTTACATCCATGATTTCATCATTTTTTAACAGGTTGACGAGTAATTCTGTCCTGATTATTCATCTTCCTTCTTTGACTAAAGTCAAACTTAATTTGGTTCTCTAGCCAGTTGTGCAGAAACATTCTTTTCTTTTCAAAGATGTCCGTGTTGTCCGTATGTGTGTATATTCTACAGTGCTGTGCAATTTGTATATGCACAAACATACATGAAAATAAAGTATAACAGGTAAAAACATTGTTTCTGTAATTCCAACACCTCCTGCTTTGCAATTTTTTTCTTCTTTTGTGCTTTTGCAAGAGGATGCTAATAACAAAGAGTCTAAAAAGATGCAATTTAAAATTTGTTCATCCCTTGAGTTGAGGTGACATTTTGATGCTTGGATAATTCTGGGGTCAGTGTTCACAGAAAACAAACAACAACAACAAAAATTCCTCTAAAATGGTGCGGTACAAGGATTGGACTGACAATAAGTAAAAAGCAGCCATTGTCCAAAGAAAAACTTTGATCATAACAAAACCTGGAGAACTATTGCTGCAGACCAAGACAAATTCAAGACAGTATTAACCCTTGTATGGTGTTCGGGTCTGTGAGACCCGTTTTCAGTTTTTCTCAAAAGAAAAATTAATTATTTTTTCAACCTGAAATTAATTGGCTTTGGCTTATTTTCTGTGAAGAACATAAATCCGAACTAATTTTCAGTGACCTCATACTGTACCTCCCCCCACGCATTTACATTACATACAAGGTGTTCGGGTCCACTGGACCCAGGTCTAATAAAAGTGTTGAAAGTGTAGGTCCTGTGTTCCCACACTCTGTTTTTCTCCTTTCTGGTGCTGTTGATAGTGTTTTCTTCCCCTCCTGCTCCCGCACAAAGTTGCAACATTGTTGAAAATTCAACTATCAACACCGTCTGCTCTGACATCTCACACATTTTACCCTCTTTCTTGAGGGATCCAAATTTTATTTTCTCATACCCTGTCCCACCTGCAAATTAGGGGCATAATACTATAAATAAGACTTTGCCAGTGTGGTTATTTATCACAACTGATCAAGATGGCAAAAGATTATCTGCTGCGAGGGCCATCCAATTGATTTTGGAAGAGTCTGACAGTGACTTTGAAGAAGAGGATGAGGTTGAGCATCATTTAGTAACAAAATGAAGACGAGCACCCCATCTGCTGCCAGCTCCAGGACCAGAACAAGCCCACCAGACAGCAAGTGAAGAAATATGGATGTCAATAACTGGTGAAATTGAATGGTCTTCTTGCCCAAGAAATGAGCCACCCTACAGAGCTGTTACTATGATAAGCCAGGGCCAACACGGCTGACAGTTACTCATGTGCAGGACATCAAGTCTTCATTTGAGCTTTTCATCCCAGATTCCATCCAGAAAATTATTCTGGATTGCAGTAATCTAGAAGGAAGGTGTGTTTTTGGAGAGAGGTGGAAGGAGATGGACCAAATTCATCTAAGAACCCCAAAGGCCTACTTTGGGGTTCTTATCCTTGCAGGAGTTTTCAGGTCCAAAGGGGAATCCACAGAATCCCTGTGGGATGCAGAAACCTTTCCGTGCATCAATGTCTCTGGAAAACTTCCACAAAATTTCCAGGATTATCCGTTTTGATAACCGAGACGACAGACCAGCTCGACGGCAGTGAGACAAGCTAGCTGCCATCAGGACAGTGTGGGATAAGTGTGTGCACCACCTCCCCTGTTTTACAAACCTGGGCCTAATGTCACCATTGATGAGCAGCTGATCCCATTTAGTTGTGAAACATATTGCTTCACGTGTAAATGTGTTGTCTTTCCACTCACTCCACTTGATTATAACTGATTTATTTTTTTTATAACATTTTATAAAAAAAAACAAAAAAAAAACGAGAAGCACATTCATTCATAAATGTGATCTAACAAAGGTAAAGGGAAAAAATTAACCATGTTTACTGTTCATATGGTTTGTAATTGGGATGAAGTAAACATCTGTTGAGTAATTTAACATAAAATTGTTTGATAGTGTTAATTTGGAAAGCCAAAACTCTAGCGGGTCCACCAGACCCATGAACACTGGCTGAGTAACAAAAATATGAACACCACACAAGGGTTAAAAGAAATGAGGCATATGTTGAGACTTTTGCACAGATTTTTGACCCCAAACTGAATTTAAAACACTACCTGAAGTTCTAAAAAAGCAGTCAGCATACTGCACTGACAATTACAAGCACTTAACAGGAAAAGTATGCGGGATAGTTGTGATATTTAACTTGATGGATTAAAAAACAATGCCCCTATGACAGATATGAACAATGTCAATCTTTACCATTGCACCTTCTTATGAAATTAATTATTACTGTGAACATCATATGAACTAAAGTCTGGGTTGCCCAAAACGTCTTTCTTCCACTAAATGAGAGAGGTAAGGAAAAATGTGTGGTTTCAGTCGTAGAAGTAAAATCACAATAAATACAGCCTGTTTATCATTTACCGCAGTCTTTTTTATAGAGACAGTTCATGTGCTCTGGTGAGGTAACAATGTTTTGTGCATGGGTGGCCTTGGTGTTGTTGCTCCGCAGTGCTTCTTATGCCGGCTGTGTGGAATAACAGGTTTGGACAGAAGGAGCTGCTCCTTAAAGCCTCTGGCACTGAACAGCAATAGATAATTTCACAGATCAACACACACAAGTGTAAATACACACATTTATGAACAAACACACACAGCATGTAACAGTCTAGAGGTTTTGGAAAGACAATGTTTCAAAAACAAGATTCAAATGACAATCATTAGTAACGTTATTTAAATGCTAACGCACATAACTCACAAGAAGGAAACGTAACAGCCAACACAGAGTATAATTATCTTATTAGGTTAATAATGAATAATGAATACATCATTGTGTTAACTAATCCCAACTCTGCATTTTGTCACAAGATATAAGGTGTAACGTCTTTGCCAAACTCACTTTCTTGTGTTTATTTAGAACAATAGGTTTGTGGTTTTGAATCTTGGCCAGGGATTCATTCACTAAGGATCCCCAAGCTAGGCCCTGCATGCTACCCCAGCCTACCTTGGGCAAGGGGTACTCAAGGGACATTGCCTGGCTTAACAGGTTCCGTGTTAGGTGTTGAGAAACTGGGACATATTGATGAGAAGTGGGCACATATGTACAAGAACTGAGAAGATCAAAGTGATGGAATGCAACCAAGTGAGCTGACCCAGTGAGATCAAGGATTCAGATAGAGGAAGTTCAGCATGAAGAACATGTGCGGGAGGATGTTAGTCAATTAAGTGAGCTGCAGAAGGGCATCATGATGGACAGGTGCAGAATGAAAAAAAAAAGTACAACAAGATGTTCATAGCAGAGGCTGAGGCATAGCTCTGGGCACTAGACTGAAGAGATATACCAGACAAGCAGAGGCCAACAGAATAAACGCTCTTCAAAATTCCATTGAGGGTGTACTCTCAGGTAAAAGGGTAGAATAGCACCAAGGCAGACCCAACAAGAGCTAAAAATGACAAATACTGGAAAAACATCTGTGAGAAGGAGGTGTCACACAACAAGTGGTTGGCGCCCCTAAGAGCAGACCACAGCAACCTCCAACAACAAGTCTCCAGAATAAAGAAAGGACCTGACATGATCCTTACCTACTGGCTGAAGAAGCTAACAGATCTCCATGATCACTGAGCACAAATATATGGTCTGCTAACAGCAGGTTCTCATCCACACAGAGCAGAACAGTTCTGATCATGAAGGATCCCAACAACTACTTGGCCATTACCAACCTCTCCACTACATTGAAACTCTTCTCAGGCATCGTAGCAACCAAGATGAGTAGGCACATGAGTAATACATGAGCACAGCTCAGAAGGGCATTGCAAGTAACACCAAAAGGCCAAAGCACCAGCTCCTGGCTGACAGACTCTAAGGCAGTATCAGGCAGACCAACTTGGGCACTGCCCAGAGTGACTAGGCAAGGCAAGGCAAGGCAAATTTATTTGTATAGCACAATTCAACAACAAGGTGATTCAAAGTGCTTTACAGAGACATTAGAAACAAAAACAAATAAAAAGTATGATTTAAAATTGATTAAAACAAGCAAACAAACAAACTAACTAAACACACACATTTCACACCTGTTCGCGCGATCTGAACCCTTATCGTAAGGGGAGCTACCAGTCCTTCTGTGGACGAGCTACTTTCTATTTTAAATTCCCTGAATTTAAAATACTCTCTAGACCCAGTCTAGACCCAGCTGGGGAGCTACCCAGAGCTCTAACCCACTTAACAAACAAACAAACAAACAAACAAAACAGTATATAAAATCAAAACAGATAAAATCAGAACAGTAGATAAAATCAGTAGTTAATGTAAGTTTTGAAATTTAAGCTTAAAAGTGTGGATTTGGTGCTTTATTCAAATGCAGCTGAGAAAGGTGAGTCTTCAACCTGGATTTAAATAAACTGAGTGTTTCAGCTGATCTGAGGCTTTCTGGGAGTTTTTCCAGATATAAGGAGCATAAAAGCTGAATGCAGCTTCTCCGTGTCTGGTTCTGACTCTAGGAACTGATACAAGACTACAAGAAAGCCCACAACTCAGTGCCCCTGCACATGGCTACTGGAGTGCTTGGTGTTAAAAAAAAGAAAAACTTTGCTGTATTATTTTATCTGGTTACTTTTAAAAGAATCCAAAGATGATTTGTTTGTCTTTTCTTTTAAAATACACTAGAGCTAATCATTAATAAAAAAAATTGATGCAAAATAGAGAATTACAACATATCATATTTTTTTCCTTTGAAACTGTCACTCTCCTGTACTACTTACATATATTTTAAGTAAAAATATGAACCTGTGTGTATTTGAGGTCGGACTCAAATACACACAAATGGCCTAATTCTAGAAAAATGAAATAGTAAAATTTGAGAAATTATAAATTTGGAAGTACTACAATTAACTTTTCTTCTTCTGCTATGATAATGTTTCAGCACTTCCTTCGTGATACAACAAAGGTGTTTCACATAGATCTTTATCTTTGTGTATTTGTGAAAATCACTTTACTCCCAATCGCCTAAATCATAACTATCATGAATAACCTCATAAAGTAAAGTAAATACCTCCCCCCACAAAAGGATACTGCAACAGACAGAAAGAAAATGATAGAAACAAGCAAACAAAGCAACAAAAAAACAAGAAGTTAATTGAAGAATTACGCTGAACTGCAGTTAGCTAAGTATAATCACTAAGACTATGGTGTAAGGTAGTAGAAAAATAGCCCGACACAGCTTCAATTGCTAGAAAATGGGTATGTAATGGATTGTGGCTAAATAAATGAAGGTAATGGATTGCAATTTGTATATACGCACACAAACATGAACCATGTTGTCTGAAGTGGCATCTCCCTGTGAGTCAGACCTACAATGAACTTGCGCAATCGTGCAGGTTTGTAACACTGGGGCTTTGTTTCTGATTTCACGTTGTTCTCCACGGTGCTGAATTGTGGTGCTGTCCATTGTCCTGAAGTGATGCCAAGGATAGCAGTCATCAGGTTTTTCTTGAAATTGTATTGAAAACAATATTGCCAAAGTTGTATCAAAGTAAAATACCAACAAAACAAAAGAACAGTAAAAAAAATGTATCTACCAGAATATCGATGCTTCTGATCAGTATTTAAATTTTGTATTCCTGCATGCCCTTGAGGAGGGGTCAGTATCTCTCATGGCCGAATTCTTTGCTTAAGTGCACACAGAGCAAAACGATCCCCTTCTGACATATTTGATAGGCGTTTAAGGTGGCAAAGTATCGACTGGCTTTCACACGTGCCGCACGCCTCTGCTGATTCGATTTGTTAGATTTGCCAGGCACCCTTAAATTTCTATATGCTAGATGATTTCCCATTCACTGACACGGCTATGTGTGGAGTCAATCAATTAGCTCACATACAAGGGGATGTTGTCCTGGACCAGACTTTGGGCTTCCTCTCTTCTTCTTAGGGGCTTAATATAATGTGGCACCAGCACTTTGCTGAAGGTGTATATTGGGTGATTACATATGACAACAGCTCTTTGCCACCGTTCTCCCGCGTCCACTTGGAGGTTTGCTTTCAAAACGATGTGTTTTAGGTAAGAAAAAAAAAGAAAAGAAAAAGAAAAAAAGAAAGAAAAAAAGAAAGAAAGAAATGCTTTAAGGTGGAATGGTGGTGTGTGCAGAAATGTTGTCACTGTGAAATAAATCACATCATCTCTCGGCGCCGTCCATCCACCTCCCCTGTCTCCCCTCTGTGTTGTCACTGAAAATATTTGCTGTTTTGCTTGGGCTTTAGCGCAGACCATATGGTCACACCTTCAGCAGGCACCGGTGTTTTCGGTGGAGCGATGATGAAAGCCTCGAGGAGAGGAGAGTGAGGGAGCGATGAAGGCAGGAAAGAAGATCCTAGACTCAGTTTCAGGGAGGAAGGGAGGGAGTGAGGAGTGCTCTCTTCGTCCATTAATTTCCAAATGTCTGTTGCTAAGAATAGCCTGCCCCCCTCCCGCGCGCGCGCGCGCGCGCACACACACACACACACACACACACACACACACACACACCACCTTCCCTAACAAACACACGCAGGATCGCGCGTACACACACTGACGCGCCTTTACTGACGAGCCCGTGTGCGCGCAGTCATTGTCAGCTTGGGTTGCAGCTGTATCTTTGCAAGAGCTGCATAATGCCCGACCCCCCCCCACCCAGCATCCTTCCCACCCCGTCGCCATACGTACATTTGCGCGCGCACAGTTCCCCTCCGCCGCACACACGCTCCTAATAAAAAAGACCCTCCAATACTTATTTTGAAGAAGACAGACAAGAGTGTCCGCCTCAGTTTGACAACAGCGGGATATCTGTGTTTCAGTTCAGCCGGACAGGGCTATGTAGCCCGAATCACCTTAAAAGAAACAGGCGAGTAGGCGATGCCTCCATCCCTGACACAGGTCTGGAAGTTGGACGCGCTGCGTGCGTCATGTGCTCTGGCTGCAGAACTGAGCAGACTCCCATTCTAGTTCACACAAGCTGAGAGACACCGCGAGGAGCGATTTATTTCATTTATAGACAGACTCGGGCCCGAATCCCAGGGAAACAGTCAGTCCCCTCCCTTTCATCCTGTCACCATCCATTCACCGATCCATCGATCCATCCTGTCCGTTCGTCCCTCTCTCCCTCCCCTTGGGGGCTGCCGGACGAGCAGAGAAGAGAAGAGGCCGTGAGGAACGGACTACTCCAATGAGAGAGAGAGAGCGAGAGAGCGAGAGGTACGAAGGACGCTCTGCCAGGACATTTGAGCTCATCGGTGCGGACGAAGGTAGACTTTTTTCTTTAAAGGCGGGAATGGTGATGGACTTTCGTACTGCTACACCTAGAATGGCCAAACCAAGATCATGAGAGGGTGTAAAGCGGCGGAGAAGCGACCGTCTTACCCTTGTCTTTGACGCCGTCGCTCGCGTGTCCCTTGCTCGGCTTCTGGATGGCCACGCAGGTGAGGGATAGAAGATGATGGGTGCTGATGAAATCGTTTGAGAAAATTATTCCACCTAAGACAGCATTAACACCGATGATTCACGGAAAAACGGTATTTGTTCTGTCTCATTGCTGCCTTCTGAAATTTCACATTCTGAAATAAGGCTCGTGAATAGCAAATGTCACATTTTTCCGGTCCAAAGGTTTGTGGAGTGTACTGGTAAAACAACTGTAAGGTGGCTGGAGCCACGTTATTACCACACACTGTACCAAACATTGCGGATGTTTCAGAAATAAATAAATAATAGTAGCTTTTCCATTTCAATGCCTTTAAGTCTGTGGAAACGCGACTGTTTCCAAAATGCCGACCTGAACGCCAGTGACTGTCGTGGATAGCTATAAGCTGTTTTATTATTTATTTATTTATTTTTATTTTAACAATCTTATTTATCGAGGCCTGTGTTATACTCGGGCGTTAACGTTGTCAGAGCAAAGACATGAAACGTCCAGCAAGGTGCAGGAAGCTCGGGTGCGCTCTGAGGCAGGCTTGTACCGTAGGCAACATGAAACATTCATGTTAACTCGCTACAGTCTCACCATGATTTCATGTTGGGAGCGAACCCTGCTTTATATGGACATAAGAGTGGACAAAGACTGAGAAACCCCACAGCACTACCCTACAGTGCAACCAGTCAGCCAACCGACCACACATTTAATTTCCTCACACCCACAATTGGCCGTTGGCAGAGACGCACAGAAAAGGAGACAGTACATGGGCGTCCTCGTCTGCTAAAACCAAGCGCTGCAAAACTGCTCGCCGGGTGCAGGTGTTCAGCATAAGCTTACAAGACAACCCGTTGTGCATATGAGACGTTCTGATCCAGATGGGATGTAATGTTGTGTGGTTGCACAGCTGAGCATTGGTCTCCTTCTCCGCTGCTTCGTGAAGATTGGCTTTTGGTGTCCAGAGAATGGCGCGGTTCGGAGACGAGGTACCAGCCAGGTATGGCGGAGGACCTGGCGGAGGAGGCCCGGGAGGCCGGGGTGGTAGCAGGCAAGGAGGACCCCATGGACACGGCCACGGACACGGTCATGGGCATGGTCACGGGCATGGCCACGGCCCACCTGGAGGGCCCGGGGCCCAGAGAATGTACAAGCAGTCTATGGCGCAGAGAGCCCGGACAATGGCACTGTATAACCCCATCCCCGTACGCCAGAACTGCTTCACTGTCAACCGTTCGCTGTTCATTTTCAGCGAGGACAACTTCGTGAGAAAATACGCCAAAAAGATCACCGAATGGCCATATCCTTTACCATGTGTGCAGTGGGTAAACGCCTTTATAGGCCTTGCCTACAGGTAGGCCTGTGTGCAGACAGCTGTTTTTAATAATGTTTCACTTTTTCCCCGTTAAATGAGCTGCAGACTTTACGTTATGTCCCAGTATCAAACGTGTAACAAGCAGATCCATCCGTGCAAGTCACGAATGAGGTATAGGCTACAGTAGGTGACAGAGGAGTTGCTGGGTGTTTAATTAATAGTCAATTAACGAGGGTGGTTCTGTAACAGTTGACCATTCTGATCACCATTAATCACATTTGTTTGCATTTTCACATCGCAATCCCGCGAGACTTGTTTGATATACGCTTCCTAAGTGGTGTGTGTGTGTGTGTGTGTGTGTGTGGTTTGAGTTTGTGGTGGAGGTATAGGGGGCGCATCTGGTTGCTGATGTCAGCATGTGCAGTATAGTCACAATGCCCAGCCAGGGTATACAGAAACAGGAGGAAGGAGCAGAGGAGGTGGGGGAACCAAAAGAGAGAAAAGGAATTTAGATTAGTTAAATGTGTGTGTACGTGTGTTCTTGTGGCAACGCACACAAGTTCCCATATCAGCACGATGCAGGTGTTCTATATGATGTGTGTGTGTGTGTGTGTGTGGCAGAGAGACAGAGGGAGAGAGGGGTGTGGTGGTGGGGGGGGGGGGGGGGTAATAACTCAAGTATGCCAGTGTGAATATAGAAACTTGCAAATTTTGTGGATGCTCATCTTAATCACAGAAGATGCAGGTGTCACTGAATGAATGTGTCATCATTTCACACTGTGTGCGTGCGTGTGTGTGTGCTTGTGTAGGCCTACTCCAACCACTAAGTGTGACAGTGTTGCATTTCCAGCAATCCCCTGCATTTTCACATTTCTGAAACCAGCAGGTTTCCTAGGGAGAGAAAATGAAAAGTGATTTCGGTATTTTCATTTCCAGGATTTGTGTATGCAGGCATGAATGCATGCAAATGTGGAAGTGAGTTTCTGTGCAACTGTTAATGACAAGAGGGAAAATTGGAGTAATGATTATATTGATCTATGCTGATGCTTGAGCCATGACATAACTACACACACTAATTGGGTTGTTCCCGTGCATAGATACTTAGAGCGCCTCTGAATCATGTCTTAGTGACTAAATGACAGATGTGTTGCTGAGCAAACGCAAGAGTGTGCAGGGATTTTGAGGTTATATGTGTATGTATACATTACCACCGAATCAACAGTTAAACATACAGTCAACTTGCTTACTGAGAGCACGAATTGTTTTTATTAACAACCACTTGTGCTTTTCCTATTATAGCAAATTGTCTGAAGAAGTCACTTTACAAACTGTCGTATCCGTTACCAGATAGCTTCACATTATGAAATAAAATATAGTTTCTTTTCTTTTCAGTTTGTTTTGATTTTTTTCTTCCGAGCATATTTGGTAGTGCCTGCAAAGATAACGCTAATGAAGACAGGGCATTATTCACTTTTTGCTTATTTGATCTAATATTTCTTGTCTTTTATTCCTTCATCAGACTTTGTAGCAGACTGTAGAGATAGACCAAATGAGAAGAGTGGTATTCACTGTCACATGCAAAACCACATACACTGCAGTTCATTGTTAATGCCAACGCTCTTAGGCCACAAGGACACCCCAATCCTAATTGTGTAAATAGCTGTACAGCCAATGATAGAAGCTGATTTTTCTCAGTTTTATGTAATTCTGTGTCCCATGGTTGAAGTTTTTGCCTCCCTCTGTAGTTGTTTTGCATTCCTTTGTGGTCACGTTGGATCTCTTTGAAACCATTTAGAATCATTTTGCATGTCTTTGTCCACATTTTGTGTCTTGTGTGATTCATTTGCATTTTGTGCATTTTTCTTGTTGTTTTAAAATTTGAGCTATATTTGAGTTTTTAACAAAAAGCTAGCTTTTTCTTATTAAAAAAAAGGGAAGGGGTTGAGAGACATGATGATGATGTCCCATGCAAAACCACCATCCAGTGTAAGGTTTGTGCCACAGCTTCCATAAATTAACAGTAATAGAATTAACTAAATATTTTTTAATGTCTCTCTAATGTTAATCCATCAATATGCGTAAACTATTTAATCCAAATCATATTTTTATTGCTAAAATATAATTATTGTTGTTGCCTGTGAATTTTCAAATGCGTTGTTTTATAGAAAAGCAGAAGAAATAGTGAAACACACGTTTTTTTTTATTAAGATGCCAAACTACAGTTACCTACCTTTCTGAACAACAACCAAAAAAAGTTTTATTATACATGATTAATTTCTGACTTTCATAAGAAGTCCAGTGTGGCGGCTCAAATTTGTGTATAAATATAAAGGCACTTTTTTGTTTGCCTGATAACTAACAATACAGCTTTTAGACTTTTTTTCACCTACTTCTAAAACAGATGTGGTTTTTAAGACAGGCAGCCCAATAAATCAGTTAAGCACTTTTTATATGGTTTTGTTTTTGTTACGGCAGCATTGGGGTGTTGGTTTACCTCCCGATAATTACTTACTTATTGTTAATTATGAGGTGTAACTATTACCTGTTTTCTCTGGAAGCTCCTGTTTCCCCTTCTGTCTGCAAACATTTTAAATTACAGAGCTTTACCTGGGCATAAGGTTGCTCAATACATACACAACATTAAATTAAATCTACTACATAAAACAACAGTGAATGCTGCTCATGAAATGTAATTGATGGATTTGAACCTGCAATACATGCAAGTGTTGCATGCTGAGTTATTTGGTAGATTTAACTGACTGTTTTTTTTCTGAGTGCAGACTGAAACAGCTTTTTGATTCACCAGACGTGTGAGTCTCAGTGGACTCACTAACAGGTCGAACCGTGACCTGCGGCTTTATTTAGTTGTGAACCGAGCCCGTGGGAGTGCCACATAAATAACTGTGCTCTCACGTGCACATTTACATACACTAGGCTAATATTTGGTCATTTAAATAGAAATAGCATCATGGGGTGCAGTCTCAATACTGCGTCATTTCATTTTTATAAAAAACAAACAAACTGTGAATAGTTTAGAAGTAGTGCTCAGATGCGATTTAATCCTAGCTTTTTTCCTTTTGTTACAACAATATTTATCTGAAAAATAATTGGTGCTTTGATGATATGCTGAAAAGAGGGATATCTAATATGTCGGTCCGTAAGTGTTCAATTTGAAATATGTGAAGTGTGAAGGTCATAGCATATGATTCACATCATTTATAGTCATAAATTCAATGACCCCTCACGGACCCTATGGATAGGGGCATTGTCATCCTGGAAGAGATCACACCCAACAGGATAGAAATATTTCATCCCAGGACAATGGTGATCACGCACAACTTCAGAGTGATTTGCAGTGATCTCCCTCTAAGGGAGGTCTCAAACAAGCCAGAAAAAGCCTCCCGTAACATACCAGTCTTACCAGATCCCCTCACTGTTCTACAGTTTCCCTTTAATTCGTCACCAATCTATAAATTAAACTAATTTTCTAAACAATAAATGCATTTAGAGATATACATTTTAGCATTAACTATATTTTACAAATAATGTCAATTACTATCAAACAAACAAATCACAAGTGACAAAATTCTTTCTACCAAATTTATGTAAAAAATGTGTCATCTTTCAGAGCTTCAGACTTCAGTCCATAGGTTGGTTCCACTGGGCAAGTGTCGGAACGTAGGAGTCACAGGACACAGGAACTCTTTGGTTGCTAATTAAATTACTGCTGTGGGTTATATGTTGATAGGAAAGTGTGAGCTACTTAACAGTGAATAGTTAATTCCAGTAATGGCAAACCCCACACACACTTTGCTTAGACTTTTAGGGGCTGATTGACATCATACACACACTTATAACCATTTTTGAAAATAATTGGTATCATTGAGTATCTTTGGCAGCACAATGTCTGCAGTTTTAACAAGGTAATGTGTGCAGTCACAGTGAGTCAGCTAGCTAGAAGTGAGTAAGGCTAGTTAGCATAAAAAGTTAGTGTAAAAGTGTAAGTAAAGTAAAGTGTGCATGTTAGTCCCCGTAGGGAAATAGTTCCTCTGCATTTAACCCATTCACCCAGTGAAGCAGTTGGTATCAGAACAAAGGTAACCGTTAAAACTGAGCTGGCAACAATTCAGTGTCAAAGACTTAAATGTTATCTTGTGGAGGCTCCTTCTGGTGTGTCATAACAGTTAAGAGCTGAAACAATAGTAATTAATTTACATTTTAGTCGTATTCATCAATAAACAATCCTGTATTTGAACAAGTATTATGAATTATTCTGTCGCAATAATGTCTGTACCTGAAATTACTGCACAATGCATGTTAGAGCATATAGCAGAGGGAAGCTGAAACTAAAAGGGTCATCTAATAGGAATGACCTTGTCCAAGGGTGTCAGGTGTCACCCAATGAGATTCTGTAAACCCTGCAAATGCATTTTCATGTAATTCATTTTTTTCTGTTTAAGTAATGTGTCGTGCTGGGTCAGTTTAGGTAATCTACATCTATGCATTACACACCAATTTTTTAACATGTGCAGACAAACACATACACACTGACGCAGCTTTACAAGTAGACACTGCATGTACACCATATGGTGCCATTGCATCATCATCGTCAATTGTTTTTTTGTTGTTTTTTTGTAAATAGCATTGTCTATATGCAGTATATTCTATCTATAGCAACACTGTTCTCATGAAATGGAACACAAATTATGCCTTTTAATAATCTTAATGTGGGCGTGAGGGATATTTAAGAATTTCTGGTGGCCTCTTAATATTTTGTTGCTATAAATAATGTGTAAAACTCAGTATTCAGAACTCTGTAACCTGACACGTTGCCTGGGCATCCAGTGCCATTGAAGATTTTCTTCAAAAATTCTAGGTGCCATTATCAGTCGTGCTTATGTTTATTATATATGTTTACACCTATTTTTCTAATGATGGTTCCTTAATTTCCTTGCACAAATGGTGAAATATTCAACATCCAAAAG